GTGTTAAGGTGCCAATCACAATTTAATCATTGTTATTACTATCATTATGGTTGTAATGAACCGCAACAAATGTATAACTATCCATGAAGCAAAGGGAATGAAAGAAAGGAAGAGAAAAAAAAGTTTCTCTTCTTTATTGAAATCTAAATGATTCCTTCATTCAGTAACTTTGTTCAAAACTTGAAGTTGATTACAGTTGAAACATTCAATGATTAAACTAATCTCAATTCATCAGTCACATTAGCTTGGCAAAGTTGAACCATAAGCGGGCCTTTTTTTGACCCATTAAGTTCAACTCAAGATCCTTTTTTGTCTTCAAGTAAAGTTATACTTGAGGATAGAGATTATGATAACATTGATTTACAGCTGGAAAAGATGAGTTTAAAGGTGTTTCAAGAAACGATAATTGTTGACTCGTTTGGATGAAACGTTTGCTCTTGGCCTCTTTACTCGTAACTTTTAGTCGTAAAAGTAACATCGCTTGTCAGAGTTATTGTTTTAATTGTGAATCATTTTGCTCGCCAATAATGCAAAATAACCAGACAATGTCTTTGAGTCAACCTGAAGTTACTGTGAACTTGGGATAACTTTCAACTGCTTTATACAGTTGCTTCGAATTTCCTATGTTTTACAGAGCAATAACTATTCCTATTTCAAAATTCAACGCAATAAGTTTAGTCCATTGCGCACTGATATCTATGAATTTGTACTCTTTAAAAATGCATAAACAGAATGGTCCAAAGTATGCAAAACTTATTCTCAATGATATTCCAAAGTATATCTCTTGGATTCATGTATAATTTATTAAATGAATATTCGAATGCAAATTTTTTTCTGTTGGCTGTACACTACAACTTTCTTGATTAAATCTTGTACAAATCTATTTTGAAAAGCAAAATTAATCTTTAATGCTTGAATTTCACTCTAATATTAATCATTGCAGATTGAAAAGTTATTCAATCAAAGTTATTACAGTTAGCCAAAATGGCTAGTTTTAAGGATATCTTTCCCAATAAATGACTCATTTTGCAAGTTTATATTTTGAAATTATCCAGAAGAGGATCAACTTGAAAATAATTCAAATTTTCAACCAATTATAACCTACAATATGTAAGTGAAATAAGGCCAATGATGAACCTTTTGTCATAACTTGTAATCTCTGGTAGTCTAATGGTTAGTAATCTGTCAAATGATGAAGGGTTCAGCTTGTTGTAGCTATAGTTGTGTGTGTGAAGGAAAAAAAAGTTGACTCACAGTTGCAACTAATCTTAAACTATTGCTTGTAAAATCGTGAAGAAACAAGGCATGAATTTGAGATTTATTTGACTGCGTCTTGTGGACTAATATAATAATTTGCAGACATGAAATGAACGTCAAGATTTACAAGAAAAAAAAGCAAACTTCTAACCCACGTAAACTACCCCTGAATAGGTTTAACCCAACATAGTCTCGGTGACAGAAATGACCTTTCAAGTTGACCCTGAAACATGAACACAAACACAATCTTTAGCACTACTGTATTACCCAGTCTACTGTGTAAAAAGAGTCTAAAAATTTTTAATCAAAAGCTAAAGTGGCCAATTATTTGTCACGATTTATGCAATTTCAAGAGCCAACCAGACCATCAAGAAAACAAGACAATGAAGCAAGTGAATCAAACCTAGAATTTGATTGATTCAAGACACAATAGAGTCAAAAGCCGAGTAAAACTTTTTTGCAAAATGCGAAACAAATGCAATCACTTTACCAAAAATTCAAGGCTGAAAACTTGGTTAAAGCTTGAAGAGTGAAAATTTGGAGCCAAAACTGTTTAAAAACTTTTGCCTGTTTCACTTCATTTACCCATTTATGCAAAATAATTATCATTAGTAAACAATTAACTTAAGCTGGAAGCGCAAGTTTCAGAGCCAACAAGCTGCAAGAATTAAATCAGTTGGTTAATTATGTTAATATATTGATATTGATTAACTGTTCTTCTTGCAACTTTACTATTCATATTGGCATAAATTTGATATTAAAATAATTAACCAAGTTTAATATTAAAAAGGCAAACCTTTTTTGTAACCATTAAAAAGGCCAGAAAAAAGAGAGAGAAAAGGAACACAAAAAAAAGTTAAAGTGATTTAAGGGATGATGAACTTTATAGCATTTTGCTGTTTTTGCTGCCAAAAAGACTGTAAAAATACAAATTGTACCAACAATAATAGTAATTATTATTATTTTAATAATAAGTGATAAGCATAATTTTGCCTTTCAAATGAAAATTACATATTTTGTTGTTTGCCTGATTATTCAAAGATGCTGAAGAAGAAGCAAAAAGATGATTTTCAAATGAAGAAAAGAAAAGTTTTATTCATAATATTAACAAAGAACAAATTTTTGCTTTCCTTTTGTTTCCATTCATCTTCCTCCTTCTCATCCCTTCTCTTCATCCTTCAATACTGAACATTTTTCTCATCCTTTTATATTCATCAACATACTTTCCATAATAATGATCATGCTGAATTAAACTACCAACATTAGTTTAAATCGCAACTCCATTGTTTCCTTTTTTGTGTATTTTGAGCCATTTTTTGTCTTCAACCTCATTTGTCAGCTTTTCTTGATTGTAATCATGAAAAGGATTGGAATTTTTGATTTTTTTCTCCTTCTTTTTCTTCTTCTTCTTCTTCTCCTTGTTTCTTGCTCGATTCCTTCACCTGATCGGACAATTGATGAATTATAATCAATAACTAAATTTGCCTATTTTACTATTCAAAGTGAAAAATGTTACTCAACAAATATTGACAATTGCAATGTTGGCAACAATTGTAATTCAGTTTCCTCTTTTTTAACATGGAAATGTATTATTAGTATTGAGATAAACATTATTATAATAGTTGTCAAACACAGAATTTTAAAATTTTTTCACTTTCTTTTTGCTTTTTTTGTTGTTGTTGCACAGAGAAGACAAACAATGTAAAGATGAGGATGAAGGCGAAGAGCGAAGCCAAATAATGAGCTTTGATTGTTCAAAATGGTGTAACACTTCATGTTGACAATGTCAATCAAAATGGATTCAGTTATTATCGAAACATCTCATTGCAAATAAGTTATTTTTGTCTTCTAAAACTTCAGACTAAAGGCAAGAGAAGAAGAAAAAAACAACAAAAGCAACAACTTAATCTGTGCATGTGTGTGGTACAATTTGGTGATAATTGGTGAAGACCAAGAGGAATACAAAAATGATGATGAAGATGGAAGAAGAAGAAAGGAAAAAAAGTTAAATTTTAATGATCAGCTTTTTTCTCTCTTCATTGCATTTAATCAACAGAGGAGAAAATATTTTGACACTTTGAAATATTCTTGAGCAAACGGTCAGCAATTACAATTGTTTAAGTCAACACACGACGATGATGATGATAATAGTGATGCAAACAAAGGTAAGACTGACCATCAACCTTCATCTTTATCTTGATATTGGTTGGACTTGGAGACACACACAGAGTCACAATTAGCCAGGCTCACATCTTATTTATAACCTGATCAGTGAACCATTCAAGTGACGATTGTGATCCTTGATAAGGTCGCCTCGTAAAGTGTTTCAACAATAAAAGTCAGCAAAAAATGGAAACTCAAGTTACTGAATATAAGAAGAAGAAAAAAGTCTTTTCATTTTTATCTTCATCTTTGTTCGCTTTTTTCTTCTTCTTCTTTCTTCTCTTTCCTTCACACTGAAGAAACACTAAACTTCATCTTATTAAGTGTCTTTAGATGCGTCAACAATTAAGTCAATCGTTTACTCTGATAATAATCGTTATAATGAACAAGCATGAAAGCAGCGAAAAAAAGATTTTTTCTTCTTCTCTTCGTCAACATCCGCTGATTCAATTGCATACTTTGTCTTCATCTTTTTCAAGCATTTTTAAACTTTTCTTTACAACTTTTTTTCTTCTTCGCTGCGACACTTTTTTTTGCTTGTTTTGTTTGTTGTTCACTCTTGTTTTCGCTTGCTTACACTGGTGACGATCTTGAAACGGAAACAGAATCAATAGATGCTGTTCAACCAGCGAATCTTGCAGTTTCATTAAGATCTATCAAGATTGTTATTGTAATTTGAGTAGCATTTAATTTTGGGCAACTTTTTCCTCTTCTCATTAAAAAAAGGCAATCAATGGTTTTACTGTGCAACTTTACAATTCACTTTGACTGTTAAACCAAACACCTTGTAATGGTTCAGGTTAAACATGTTGTTAGACATTTAACCGTCCATGTTATCCTCTCATCAAACAATTGTTAATTGTTCAAATCATTCAACCGCCAATGAATCCAAACTCATTGCCCATTACATTTGATCATAAAATAGGTTTACTTTAGTTGCTCAATTAACAAATGCAACCAAATAAAGATGACAATGTTCGAGTTTTCATCTCATTATATTGCAATAAAATTCACGCTGAACCAACATAGTTTCCTCTGTCCAACTGTTTAACTTCCAAAATCACGCAAATCGAATGAAAACTCCCAAGCTTTTCATTGCTGAATATGCCAAGGCCAAGAATGTGGCCTCAAATCTCGAAGAACTTAAAAAAATCGGACGGAAAATCAAAAAAGTAGCATTACATTGCATGATAATTTTCACTTTTTCTCAAGCCCCTTTAGATTCTAAATTATTTCAATACAATTTTACCCGTGAATTCGAGAATACCGCGAAACTAGTAAATGTTTTGAAATGAAGCATTTTTGAACTTTTGGAAAACGTATCAAAATCCAGTTCATTCATCGTTGACTAACAATTGCAAGTCTAAAGTATATTATGAAAAGTCTGATAAAAATTGATTGACTGATTAGTTTGTTATTGAAATGATAACTCGCTTTGATTGAACTAAATTTAGATCCGATTTTAATGTAGTTTTACTGATTTGACTCTTTTGTTCAAGTGTTATTGCAATTTCACTGTGAGATAAATAACATGATGTCATGCGAATGATATCGATGTATTTTTTGAAAAAATATAAAAACCTGATACGAGAAACAATTAGAATCATTAGAGTTACGTTTGCCTCTGACAAGCTAAAATGTATTTCACTGTTTTTAACGTAAATCTGTTTTTAATTCAATTTCTTTATGGATTAGTGATCTTATTCTTGGTCAATTATGTCATCAAATTTGTTATAAAAGTCTGTAAACTGCCTTCTGGACCATGGGGATTACCATTTGTTGGATACTTACCTTTCATTAGACAAGATGCGTACAATCACATGACCGAGTTGGCTGAAAAATATGGACCAGTTTTCAGTCTAAAGTGTGGTCAGTTTGACGTTGTTGTCATCAATCAATGGAAGTTCATTAAAGAAGCTTTGGCAAATGAACACTTGCTTGGTCGACCTAAAGAGATTTCATTACCAGGCATAATTGAACAAAGCTCATTTGCCGAAATGTCAGGTGAACGTTGGAAGGAACAGAGAAGAATAGCTTTAACTACACTTCGAGATGTTGGTTTAGGAAAAAGTGCAATGGAAGATTCGATTAGAGACGAAATTAAATCATTCACTGAAGTAATAAAATCTTTCGAAGGCGAATCAATATCAATATCTGATAAACTATCCTTGAGTGTATCAAACCATATATCAACACTCCTATTTGGGCGAAAATATGCTCATGATGAGCCTCTTTCACAGGTTATGGCAAAGCTGCTCGCCCAATCAGATATGATGAAATATTTTAATGTTGTCACATTTATGCCGGCCATTGCGAGGTTTGTAATCAAATTAAACCTTATCGATATGGCAGAAACTTTTTCAATCTTCAAAAAGTTGGAATCTCATATTGGTGATGAGGTTAATGAACACCGAAAGAAAAATGCTGATTGTAATGAGATGAAAGACTACATTGATGGGTTCCTCGGTGAAATGTCCAAAAGACAAAACGAAAAGAATTCAACTTTCAATTTAAAAACTTTACAACGAAATGCAATTTTGTTTTACGGCGCTGGATCGGACACGATATCAAGTACATTTAAATGGATCATGTTATATCTAGTCAAGCATCCTGAATACCAGAAAAGGATACGCGATGAAATCAAACAGACTATTGGATTAAATAGACAACCTGAAAATGTGGATCGAAAAGAAATGCCTTTCACAATGGCCTTCATTTACGAAGCTTTGCGACACTCTTCATTAGTCCCACTCAATTCACCAAGAAGAGCAACTGAAGATACCAAACTTGGAGGCTATTCAATACCTAAAGACAGTCTTGTGATATTCAACTTCTGGTCAGTTCATCGTGATCCAAATTTATGGGATAATCCTGAGCTATTTAATCCCGAACGATTTCTTAATGAGGATAAATCTAAAGCCATTAAACCACCTTATTTGGTTGCATTCAGTGGCGGAAAAAGAGTTTGTCCTGGAGAAAGTTTTGCTTATCTTCAATTATTCTTGTATCTTGTTTCCTTTGTACAACAATTTGAGATCTCAGCTGAATTGGTCGAAGATATTTCCTTAGAAAAAGTTCATAAACACGCTTTACGAAAAAAAGATGTACCCAACTTGATGTTCAAAAGTGTTGATTAAATCGTTTACCAATTCGCTACTTTTCAAGTTGATATTGAATTCAATTCCTGTATAAATCTTATTATATGATTGTATGTTTCATAATATTGATGTTATCCGTTCGTATTCATTGAAATCTTTCAACTAAATTAGAATGAATTTCCCTCAAATTATTTATTTTATTTGGATGAGTAACAAGTAAACCAACATAAACCACAAAAACAGCCCTTAATATCATCATGAGACACAGGCCATGGCTCTTGGTTTTCTTTGATCGAACTTAGTCGTTTGGAGAGCTGTGAAAGCTACCCATAACTGGGTGAAGTTCGAGCATGGAATCATGAAAAGCGCAGTAAAAAGGTTGGAAAATATAAAGTAAAGATCATTAAAACTAAAATCCCTTCAAGTGCGCTGCAAATGAGCAACTATTAGCAACTACAGCTTCAATGTTAACTTTAAACCATTACCAAAGCCAGAGGTAACAATGGCCTGAAAACGCAAAGAGGGAAGAGAGGCAGTGACGATGATGATGTTGAGCAGAGAGTAAATTGTCTGTAATAGTTTTGAATTGGCCATAGGCACAAGACTATGGACCTGATATCCGGGTTTTGTATATTAAATGTATATTAGAGTATAATTTAATGGTCTCTAAGTTAACATCTCAATCTTTTTGCTGTTAAACAGTTTCGTGTTTAGTTAACTCTCGACTCTCTAAATCATGATTTACTTGTGATTGAACTGTCGTTATTAACTCGAACAAATTATTTACTCTTTACTAATAGAATCAGCCTTTTCTTCCAACCAACATGATGAATGAATGAATGAAGAAGATGATGATTATGATCATCTTTTATCATCATCATGAAGTGAAAATGAAAGTGAATAAAAGATGATATTTTCTGTGTATAAATACATTTCTCTCATCATAATCATCGTTCATCAGTATTGGACTGTAAGAAGCAAATTTGGTATAAACATTCAAGCCCGAGGCCTTGGTAAGCACGGAAGCACAAGAATATTATTTTATTATTGGCTGAAGCTTCTGAGTAAAAATGAATGAATCTCAATGGTTTTACAGGTTAAAAGGGAAAAAGTAAAAGAAAGCAACAAATTCATCGATGGAAACAGTAAATTAAGCCATCATATTCCGAGTTTGTATCCATCATTATCATCATTGTCATCCTCATCAGAATCTGAGTTTCACGATGATACCTTAAGGGTAAAGCAGTGTTGATAAAAAAGCAAGAACACTGAATATTCCAAGTTGCAATTTATTCAGTTTTTGCCTCTTTTTCAGCTTCTTTTATTTCAACGCAAACTTGCTCATTGCAAAAATCACATTTGCTAATTGATTGAAGTAAAATGTTGATCACTATAATAGTGACAACACTGATCACGATTAATGTTGATTATTAGGTAAACAATGCTTTTCTCTTTTCAAGGTAAAAATGAATCTCAGGGACAACAAGATAATGATAATGGTTGAAACAGAAATGATGATTATGAGGATGAGAAGAAAATGTTCATTTCTGTTATTTTCTTCACTTCTCTTCTCTTTTTCCCTTATACTTTAACCTTCTTTTTGGGCCATTACATGGTTTACCTTTCCTTTTCTTGCCTTTACTTCTTATCCTTCTTGTTTCAACTCTCGAGTTACCTGTCAATCATTTAGATGTTGACTCCCTGCTGAGTCTTTTTTTATGGTGAAAAATTTTCATTCACCTTACGAGTCTCTTTACTTAACATTTAACTAACAAATTGGAGAGCAGAAAAATTCCAATGGTAAATTTGATTATCAATAATAATCACGATTCAAATCGTGATAAACGTTTCATGAGCTTAAAATGGTGAAAGCAAATGAAAAAAGTATCAATTTTAATTATCAAAGGAAAAATCAAAATGTTTACTTTTTCAGACTAAATCAAAATGTATCGATGTTAACCTTTCAAGTCATCGGGTTATTTTGCATTATTATTGTGACAAATGATAGCACTTGAGACGCTAAAGATGAAAAGATAATGTCGATTCATTTGATTGCAACAAATTTTCATTTTACATCAAACCTTCCATCAACTTTCATTAGTCAATCCTGCTTCATTTAATGAACAAAAATGCGTCATTTTCAGGCAAAAATTGAGCTTGCAAAAAACATCAATGTTGCATCAAACTGCATCGACTTTCAATTTTCAAGCAAAAAAATCATCGGGTTATTTTGCATTATTACAAGAAATTGATAAACATTGCCAGGTTATTTCGGTTTCTTTAATGACCAAAGGCGATTTGATCTTAAACTTAGTTTTATCGTTTCTTGTTGAAACTTTGCAAAGGTTTGATATGATTTGATTGGATTTAGACTTGGGATTCAAGTTATTTTGCTTTTTGAGACAAGGAACGGCACAACAATGTCGGTTGCTGAGGTTGAAGATGTAACCGAGAGTGAAGTGGATTCGGTTCACCAAAGCTTGTTTCATCATAAAGATACATGAATATCAACACGAAACATTTCAATCATTCATCAGGAGCTATCAAAAGTCTTAATGGTGAACATGTTCCTAACCAGATAGATTAAGTTTTAACTTTGCATCTAAAGCAATCTATATCGTGATGATACCTAACAGACAATATATTATATTTCGTCAGTTGACCGAAAAACGGGCTTCTTTTCGGTTCTTATTGATTGACTCGTGGCCTTTTCTTCGATCAGCCCTTTTCAAATTCAAAATAGAACTTTAGACTTTCGAAGAGCTCAGAGCCGAAGTAAACTTGTGGAGACGCAAGCGTTAACTTTAATGATTTACACTTGAGTTCCTGTCGCCTGTTGATAAGGATTGGTTAAATGGTTTCATCAACTCTTTGTTCAAATGTTGGATTGATTGGACAACTAAAGCTGCTCTGAGTCTGATAAAGTTTCAATCAACATTGAAACAGATTTGGCTGTTGATCCAATTTATTAATAAACGCAGTAAATAACTGAACATTTATCATCTGGATGAGGAAAGGAGGATGAAGATTCTCCCACTTGCTCTCCCTATTAATCCATAAACATTAATGTTTACCTTTTACCATATTAAGGTGTGTTTGTGTTCTGTCAATTGATATTATCTTACCTTAATGATGATTGTACTTTAGGTAGCCTTAACTCATGACCAGTAGGAGAGCCCCTAGTAGACCAAGTCTTAGGTCACATTTCAAGTCAACTGTCCACCCACCTGAATGAACATCTGAGGTGCCCTTTTCATGATTAATTGGAAGACAAACAAAGAGGATAAAAAAGCTTTTGCCTGCTTGGTTTGCTTTTAATTAACAAATGAAATGTATAATAATCATTACAATAATGTTGTACTTTGATTTATGGGCAAAAATTTAAATGAATTTCAAATTATTCATAAGCAAACAAATGTGAAAAAACAAAAAGCACAACTTGAAGGAAAAATATTTCAAGGTTTCAATTGAACAACAACAAGCAAAAGTTGGGAGTGAAAGTTATCATTATTTTTTATTATTATTGTTATTACTCTTATTATGTTGTTTTTTTATTATCCTATTCACTAACCATTAATAGTAATATTATTGTTATTGTTATTGTTATCCATATGTATTTATGTATAGACTTGGTATTTGAATGGCATTGATTTACGGAAAGTGGTCAATGGTCAATTATATTGTTGCATCACAGGAAAGGTTAAAGTGAAAGAAGGCAAAAAGTAAACTGAATATATTCATTATCAAATTTACTGATGGAGAGGGAAGATATTTAATAAAGATGGAGAGGAAAGAAAAAAAAAGTTGAAGATTTCAGTGAAAGATTGAAGATGAAAAAAAGACGAGGAGGTTATCATCATTAGAAGAGGGAAAATATCTTCACAGAAGGAGCCTTTCTGGATTGGGTTATCTTTTGCTTCTTCTTCAAGTCATATTCATTCTTTACATGGGTGAGGTACTGGTTATTTGATGAAGAAGATGTTAGATTGAAGACAAGACTGTGAAAAAATCCTTAGACTACTGCTGGTCGCACTTCATTAGTCTCTTTCCAGGGAATCTTTATTCATCATCATCTTCTTCACCATCATCTTAATCATCATCTCTTTGCATCTCTTCCAATGCAGTCACTGGTAGTATAGTGGTTAGCATCTTTCAATGCAATTGAACTCACATTTTCAGCCGCTTCTGATGCTTTACCATATCTTATCCTTGCCTTGGGCAACAATCATTAATTTCACTTCAACCTTTTTTTTCAAGAACAAGCAGAAAGAAAGATAACGAAAGAATCAAAGACAGATCAACATTTTGCTTCTTTTGGTTGTTCTTGAAAAATTGGCAAATAGGCGATACTCATAATGATAATACTGTGAGATGCTTTTATCATGATAACTTCATTGAGAAATGAACGCTAAAGAAACAAATAGACAACTAATATATGGTTAATTTATTTAATCCATTTATCAGTAATCATTTTCTTCCTTTCAACTTTCAACTATTTTAATCACTTGCTTATCATTACCATGATAATAATGATTAAATGGTTTAAATTTATCCAACATCTTGCAATAATCTCTGGCAGTATAGAGGTTAGCATCACACAAATTCAATTGATACACCCCAATGTTATTAACAAATTGCATATTTCAATTGATTAACTAAATCATTTGAGGAAAAAGAGAGTTGGAAAGAGGAAAGGTGGGACAAATTCATTTGTCTCTTTCTTTAATGTTGTATATCAATTGCAATCAATTAAAGAGATGGGAGACTTTAATTAACTGCTTAATGATAACTTTGAGATATTAGATGCAGGCAAACCAGTGAATCAACAATTAACTTATTTCTTGACAGAGACAAGTTTCAGTTGCAATTTTATCTCTTCTTTGCTCGGCTGTTCAGACACACCTTAATCCCTTTAGGTTAACCTGATCATGTATTGAACTGATCAACACCAAAAACCATCAATTTGCAAGGTAAACCTGACAATGGACACAATTAATTGATCAAATTGAGTAGAAAGGGAGGAAAACAAAAAGCTGAGTTGAGACTGAATTATACTTGCATGTTTATCTCAACATCATTAATTGTCATCAAGGATCTTAATGAAGATGCAAGGTGTTGTTGATTGTGTTTCCAATTGTAATTGATTAACATGTTTGACAAGTTAACCAGTTGAAACCAGCAATGAAAAAAAAACCAAGCAACAACAAAAAGGTAACTCACAGGCTATTAAATTACTTGATACACACCTTGAAAAGCGGATTCAAAATGAGAGTAAATTTTGTGATTTATCAATATTTACTATCAAATATTAATGATATGCAAAGGAACGAGAAAAAATTGTTATTAAAAGTTAATTCCTTTTCCACTCCCAGCAATTGGTAAGAGCAGCAAAAATTAATAATCATGTTAATGTTGCGATTATTTTCAATGATAATATTGTTCAATGTTGAGGTAAACATAAACTCACTGTTGGTTATCATGACTGTTGCTAGATGTTGATCATCATCATCATAATACCTTCAATTGTTCAAAACCATAATAATCATCATTCAAGTTAACCATTTTTTTATTTATTCAACTTTATCAATTGTTATTAATTCAAAGCAAATTAGTACCAATTGAGCAAATAAAATGAAATGATTGGAAAGAAAACGTGATTTCTGGTGAATGGAAAGAAAAAATTTCTTCATTTTTTCTGCTTGTTGCTGGTGATCAACATGATTATGATGATGATAATGGTTATATTTATCTCACTCTTCATCCCTTTTCTGTAACCATCAATCTAAATGATTAGGTTTATCATCATTTGAATATTTGCAACCTTGACTTGCTATTTGATTGACAGGTTAAAAGGTATCACAGGTAAGCAAACAGAGGGTTGAAGGAACCTTTTAATGTCTTTGACAAACATCAGGATGCAAAATGATGAACCATTTTCTTCTCCACCAAATTTCCAAACTTTACTAATCACTTCTTCTAATTTCTTGTCTTTACAACAATGTAATCATTTACTTTGCTTATTAACCCTGGTTAATTAAGCTTTATGCCTAAATTAAGATTAAACATTGTCAATTAAAAGTTTAATCAAACAATAATATCAATGATAATGACAATAGAGTCTAATGTCTAAGTAAACAAGGAAAAAGTAAATTTAAGAATAGCTTGTGGCATCAATAAGATGATATTATTATATTATTACTATTATCATTATTATTGTTATGTCTTTTGGGTGAAACTAGGATGATAATGATGACAAAAGAGGAAGACAAGAAATTAGAGTTAATAAAGTAATTGTTGATGTAGAAATGAAAATATGCTCTGGGCTATTTTCCCTTTCATGCTGATGATGATGATAAGAAAAGATCTTGTGACCCTTTTTGTCTTCTTTTTTCCATCCCTTTCTTTTTTATTATAATTGTGAGTTTTCCTCATGGATCATGTTTATTCAAGTGGAAAGTTGGTTGTTAATATTTTCCATCCTCTTGTTACAGTTGCTGTTGTTGGTGAAATTGCAGTGGTGATGGTGATGATGATAGTGTGTCTGTGTTTAGAGATGTAAATTGTTGCATTTGTTTTGATAGTTTTGTGAATGATTTAGATTGATTTTTTACGGACTAACAAATCCAATTTGAATAATATGCTGTTGATGACTGAGAATCTCATTGAAACAGTGAATAACACAATTAAAGATAAGAAAGAGAATCAAAAGGATTTTCTCTTCAACTTTACGGGACATTTTTCGTTATCTTTCCTTTTTTCCCCTATTTTCTCATTATTAAACCATTTTTTTGAGTGATGATCAACCATGATTAAGATGAGGATGAGCAAAGGTGGGTAAGAGAGGCGTGGGCTGGATCAGTGTTGGATGCATTTGGCTGCGTTTTGAAGGGAGAATCAGGATGATCCGACTGATGATGATAATAGTTAATGATAATTTTTTGGTTGACAAAATGTTGTTTGCATAAAAAATGAGTATGAAATTGCTGGCAAAAGTGTGTGTGTGTGAGTGTGTGAGTGAATACAGCCATGAGTCTATGGAAGTGTGAGAGAGAGAAAAAGAGAAGAAAAGTTAATCATAAGTTAGTTATTTGATAGTGTTTTTAATGGTAAACCACAAAATATTGAAAGATAACTTTCAACTTACACTTTTAGGCCTGGTGAAGTTGATAAAAAAAGGAGAAGACGGTGGAACAAAGAAGAAAAATTAGATCTTCTTTATTATCATTTCTCCTCATCGATTTCATTCCTCTTTCTCTTCATCATCTTTTTATGTTACTTTTGCCTTGTTGTGTTTAATATAAAGGGAAATGTATCACATTACAGTTAAATAGGAGATCAATAGGGATGAGGATTTTACCCATCGTTGAGCTAGAAAACGGTAAACGACGATGATACTGATTAAAGTGATAAAGTAAAAAAAAAGATGAAGTAAAGAAGTTTTCAACAAGAGCAACAAATACACATTTACCAACAAAAAAGGTCTAAACCTTGGTGATTGTATTTGGTAGGATGTATTTCTAGATTCGTTATTGTGAGTTAAACAAAAATCATTGATGCAATGAGGAGCAAAAAATTGGGAAGGAATCAAACAAAAGATGATTTAAATTGTAACCTCAACTCTATTTAAAAGTAAAAGAGATGAAATTACGTTACGGAATAGTGACCAGGGGGTGAATCAATGACATATGGGAGGGAGGGTGGGTTAAGTAGGTGGGAAGATTAATGGATGGCAAAGAAGGACCAGAGATTATGCGAGATCAACGATCAAAAGAATTGGTTCTAATCATTTTGATGTTTCATTATCCCTAACCAAACTCTAACAGAATACTATCAATTCCCCTCTTAATTTTAACTGTATTTTTTTGAAAAATAAGCTCCAAAAAAGAGGGGAAGCAAAAGTTAATGGTTTCAATTTTTTATAATGATTGGTGTTAAATTAACAAAGGCATATAATTTACATTATAACTTTGAAACCATTAGGTGTGGTGATGGTACAATCTCATTGAAAATTGGTAAAGCCAAAAAATGGGGCAATAATTATTGTAGCAAAGTTTCATTAATCAACGAGTGAATTTGATATTAACCTGTTTACACAATCCAAGTGAAAACAGTTTAATCAATAACAAGAGAAGCAAAAGTAACGAAAAAAAGAGAGAGAGGAAGAGAGAAAGACTGAACAATAGAGGAACAAAAATCAGGCTTTAACCATAAACTGGAAAACCAGATTGTCTCTGTGGAAAGATTAACTCTTTTGGAAAGAGATGATCGCATTGCAGCAACTCCATTGATCCTTAACTTTCAAAATTGAATCTCTCTCAATGGTTGATCATTAAGGCATTTATACCAGACATTCAGGACAATCAGGTCAATCAGAGATAACCAGAACAATGTTAACCGTAGCTTCTTTACCAAGTGAATTGGGTCCATTGACGAGGTATTAAACAGCATGTTCACCAGGATTCACATAATTGACCAGCAATTGAATAATATGGCTGATGAAATTAACCAACTAACATTAACCGTTGACCGAAAGATAATAAACATCACAAAATTAAATTAAAAACAATTCAAGGTAACAATTAAATTAATAGATTGAATGTAATAAAAACATAGCTTGCAACCGTTAATTTACAAAAGATGGAAAAGTCATGTGATTGAATAAGAAAGGGAAAGGCTTAAGGTTACCAGATTTGTTTGAAAGGCGGTCAATTCAAAGAATAACCAGAAAAGCATAATTTGGTAAAAATGTGTTTAAAAATAACAAGATATTTGTTGTTGATTAAATTATTGTTTGTTATATTGTTTGTTTAGTTCAACTTTTTTTGCTTCTTATCGGTTCAGCTTCATTTATTTGCGTTAATATCTGTTGATTCTTTTGGCACATTTGTTGTTATTTTGGTTGTGTTTTGGTTATTTTGGTCACATTTTGGTTTTTTGGTCGTCTTTGGTTTTTTAGTGAGACCCTTTCACTTGAAAGCAAAGCTTAAGATCAATTGGCAATAAGGTCAAGGTGTTTCTTTTTTTATGTTAGTTATTTGTTACCAAACCAACAAAACAAAATACTTTAACCCATTACTTGTTTCCTCTTTTTTTCTGGTTCCAAAGGTATGTTTATAAACACATGTACATTACATACATTTTTGATATATTATTTACAGTTTGCCTTAAGACATTTACTTTAATGAAATATGCATTCCTGTAAACAGTGGCAAAAAAAGAGTAAATCTTGATGCATAATATTATATTTAATGCTTATTAGCAAACATATTAACCCCTTTTTTCAATCTCTTTTTTCCCGACCAATATTTACATTTTTAACCTTTTCTTCCAGATCAACCAATAGAGATTTAATTACCATTTAATCGATTGCAATTGACCATCATCCTATTCAACTGACCTTAACTTGAATCTTCTGCTGCCTTTTTTCATCACTTTACCTTTCTACTTATCCTCTTTTGTCAAGTAAGTAATTCTGTCTATTATTTTTTCTCCTTTTAATCTTTACAACCACTTCTTATCTTCTAGTTGTCTCTTTGGTCTTCATCATCTCTTCATACACATCAGCAGCAACATTAACCATTTTAATAGTGATTATCGTCAACAACAAAAATAAAGTCAACGATCCTTAAATATCTTTCCAATTTGGCTTCTCTTCACTAACAGCGAGGCAATTTAAAGCAATTTCCCAGTTTTTTATTTGAATGTAACTTTGGTGTAAACACTGTAAGAAAAATGAAAACATTTTTCTCCAACTTCTTTATCCATGGAAGATGAACAGGTACAAGATAAAGGGAAAAGGTGTGTGGGTCAATCTTGAAGCCCTTAAACCTCCTAAGACTCACCTTAACGTTAAAAATGACGGTGGTGGTGATGATCAAGAAGAGAAAAGAAGAAGAAGTAGAAAGGTAACTTTGAATAACATGTTTTATTTGGTTACTTATACAACAATCTATAAATCAAATGCAATTTCTTTATAACAAAAGGAATTGGGTTGAGCTAAAAAGGAGAAAAAGAAAGATGAAAAAAAACTCTCGTCATTCATAGAGACACATTATTATTCGGTGAAATGATTTTTTTCATCATCTTCAAGGAAACTTATTTTCTTATCATCATCATCATCATCATCATCCTTCGTTGTTGATGTCTTAAGAGTGTTGAGATTGGGAGGTAATCAGACGAAAGAAAATCCAAATGAAATATCAAAAGAAGAATGAAAAAATAACTGAAAACATTTAAGTTACCTTTCAAAAGTTGAGGTTAAAGTTGAGTATTAATAACCTCTCCAAGTTTTGGTCAACTTTTTGGTTTCCAACTTTTTTTTATAATCTAACAAAAGGAATTTCTTTTGCAGTTTCAAGAAAAGCAATAGAAAGCTATTGGCCAGCGGAAGAAAGCAAAGACTAACCCAAAATGGCCAATACTTTGACGGACAATACTAATCATTTTCAAACCAGAGAAATGTTGCTCAAATTGTGTCAAAGTTAATTTAAATGATGATTTGCTGTTGCTTTGGTCGAAAATCGTAATGAAATTGAAATCAACTTACCCGATGGAATCGCTTTGTAGTTGACTTTTACCATAGATTGGGATAAACTGAGCGTTATCAGGAGACCATTAAAGATGGACAAAGCAAATGGAAAGTTGAAATTCATGTTTAAATCAATCCCTTTGGTCGCTTTTAAAACTGTCCTGTCACTTGTGATTAGCGTTTTTACTTTTTTTGCTGTGTTCACTGATTTACCAGCCAAAGTAACAACAAAGTTTATCAATGTAAAAGGTAATTATTCATATTTTATAGTTGCTTGAATCCAAATTGCCAATTATTTTGATGAACAGTGAAAAAGATTAAGCTTTCAAGATTATTTTCATCGTCATAATCAATAAAACTGATTATCATTAAGCCTTTCAACCTTTTCTTTCTCTTTTTTTGTATAATTTTCTTCTCTCGCTTTTACAGATTAACTGATTGTTAACCAAGTAACTTAAGGTCCAGTCAGCCGTATAATTTGATGTCCAAACTGGTTGACACGGGACAATAAACCTGTCAATCAATGAGCTTTTTATTTGTCACATGCACATTGATGATGTTTAACTAGATTTACTGTTGCATCTCAATTTTGGTATCATCAAAGATATCAAAGTCATTCTCATCTTCATAAGGATCATCATCATCGCCATTATTGATCAAATGTTCATCTTGATGTTTCCCTTTAATTCACCAATCAAACCAATTTCATCGTCCACTGAATCCAAAATTAAGATTGTCTATTGTCTTAACCAGTCAAACCAATCTAGAAATAATAAGAGAAATGGAAGAAAGAAAAAAAAGGAACAAAGTTATCAATGATGAACAGAATAACAATTATCATGAAAAATTGTTCACTTGACCATTCATCATGTAATCATGGACCCATTTGCATTGCTAGACAAAAAGCCCAGCCTAACAGATGATTGACCATTTGGAATGTGCAAAAGATGTAATTTTATTGGAACCATTGGAATCAAAATTGAACAAAATTGTTGGAAAATGGTGAAAAGGAAGAAAAAAGTGTTTGAAGTAACATGATATAAATCAGTTGTCAACGTTTTGTTTCAACGATTTTCTCACTCTCTTCCATCCCTCATCATCTTGATCTCATCTAGTTTAATCAGTTTCAACAATGCCTTTATTTGATTCAACAAATTATTTTTATTTTGACTGCAATGATAATAATAATAGTAATAATAACACATGAAATTACATTCAATTCACGTTTACACATTACTAAGTTACACTTGGCTAACAAACAGATAGCAAATGAATAATAATATTAATGGGAATGTTAATAATGATGATACAATTGTGTGTAATCAGTTTCTCCTTTTCTTGTTTAATAAGTTGCTCTCATATAAAATAAGGTGTTTTATAATAAATAAAAAAAAGAAAGTTATAACTCAAGAAACACAAAAGTGTCTTTTATTATAACTTTATTTTCACCTTTACCAGTTTATCAACTCACACACAGGTAACAATGAGCTCGTGAAAATAATTTATTATTATTGTCTTCACACTGAATAAGATGGCAAGGTTTTGTCATGAATTTGTCTCTTTAACAGAAGCCAACAAATCGGAAGGATTTCACTTGTTCAACACTGCACTTGGATCATCTTCAGATTGAAAATTTCAAACTTGGAACAAGAAATGTTTTTAAAGATTTAAAAAGGATTGACGCAAAGATCGCTTCAAGTCATGGCAAGAATTTTATGGTTTTTGGAACCAAAAAAGGAACCTTTTTCGAAGCTGAAATTTTCTTCTTTCCAGAAAACGTTTATTGAGTTGAGATTGAAGTAAATGTTATTTACAATCAATTGTCGAAGCTATATTTGATTAAAGTTAACGCTTTCAATGATTAGTTTCAATTTATTAAGTTATCATCATTTCCGTTGCTATTAGAACCATAATTATTATCATGATTATTGTGATTATTATTTATGAGAATGTAAAAACTCTGTAAACATATTATTGCATATTCTTTGGTTGATAATGATAATAGTAATAATAATGATTATAATAATAATAATAAATGAGCTTTATGTTGATTGTGAAAAAGGAAAAGGTAAAAGCTTCAGTAAACAGGTAAACATGATTCTTGATGAAGATATCATCTGCTAATGGAAAGTCAACCTATTATAATGATGATAATGAAGAGAGAAAAAAGGAAAAGAAGAAGAAGAAATATGATGATAATGATGAGAAGGAGACTGTGGTGTTGGAGCAAAGTGTGGCCAGAATAGTTTTTTTTTCATTCGCTGCGTTTTTCCTTACTGTGCCTAGAGGCCTTCGGGTGGGTTCAGAATATAATCGGTCTTGGGATCCATCTGCTTGGTAAGAGAGAGACTATTATTATGATGATGATGATGATACAGGCTATAGGAATGACAACTTCATCAACAGTTTACTTTGCCTTTATAACCACTTATCCACAATCTTTCTTAACCTATCATCATAACTTTCAAATAAGATGAAGAAGAAGACTAACCGGTCTTTCTCTTCGTTCTTTCTCTCTCTTTCATTGTTTCTCATCTTGTTTGGCCATTTTTTGCACTTATTAACCTTCATTTTCTCCTTCTTTATCATCGGTTTGGCCTTTCTTTCCATCCCAAGGAGGATCAATCTTCATCTTCATCATGACTTTACTTTTTTGTTTAAATTTATGCCTCCATCTGGTGGTACCCTTGAAACTCTTACCTTTGTTGCTCTCAACTAATCATATATTTTAAAATGTTTATTACATTCAAATCATTTTGCTTCGTCAAAATTGCTGTTAAAGCTTTAATTTTTCATGTCAAGTCAACGTAAATTTCAACGGAATTAACAGCTTGGTTTCGTTGAAAGTTAAACACTGAGTCAATGTCAATTCAGTTTAGTTTAACCACAGAAAGTGAATGCTAACCAGAAAGACTTCAGAAAACTACTTGAACTACTTCGGTCCGATTTTCAAGTAAAAACAAGACTTTGTTTCGGCTGATTATGGTTACTTTAAAGACCTAGTTCATTCACAAGACCCAGTCTCACCAAGTAAGAGTTAGAAGCTTACACATCGCTAGAAAATGCTCAAAACACAGTTGAACAACAAATTTCTCTGATAAATTTCTTTCGAGGTTTGGGTGAACCAACTCATTTCTGATTTATGAGTTGATTCGTTTGATTGTGGTTCATTGGCAGCTAGCGTCCTAAAGATTGATTGATTTATTTGACTCACTGTTAACCATTGAAACAACTAGTGCTAATAACCAAAAATATCAGTTGAAACTTCTTGCGGTTATCATCTACTGAGTTATGTAAAGTAGCACCAAAGACACATTTCAACCAGAAAAATCAAACCTAAATGAAAGTCAGTTGATTTTATCCAAAAATTTGACAAAATCTCTTCGATTCCCAGTCAAGATTCAATATTTTCATTCACAGCAAAATACAAAGCAATTCAAGACATTTTATCGCCTGCTGCTTTACATTCAATTTATCATTTATATTTTTGTCATTTAGTATTGAAGTTTCAAGTGTTGTCAATTCAAAGTCGATGTTGTTTTTGAATTGAAGCAATGCAAAATAATCTGATAATATCTTCATCAACTGAAATCTTAAATGGAAAAGTTTCAATTCAACTTTTCCTTCATGTTTCTTTTTTTCATTATAATCTGTTACTCACTTTATTAATCTATTTTTAATACTGAAACAAAGAAATGTGTTTCAAATGTGATTTACTTAAATTTCATTTTCATCCTTTCCATTGAATCAAAAGGCGAAACAAAAAGTTTTTCATTACCAGATTTTTCATTTTTCAATATGCTTTATTAGTTTAGCATCTTTATCATGATAGTTTCTCATCCTTTTTCATCATTTCTTTACTTTAATTTTGTTCACATTGGAAGCTTTATTTTTATTCACACAAAATACAAAATAACATAATGTCTAATAAAATATAATATTAGATTCGTTTCTCATTCAACTTTTTTTTTCTTCTTCCTTTTATTTCATCAATTCTTTTGTTCTCAAATTCAGTTTCGTATTTGCTTTTTTTCCATCACCCAAATTGAATCAAATTTTGTGTCAAAATGAACTGCGAAAAATGAAGAAAGTTAAACTCTGAAAGATAGAGAGAAAAGGTAAAAATGGTAAAAGAATGAAAAAGAAGACAAAATGAATATGAAAAGAAGCTATTGTTATCAAGTTATCAGGTTGCCCTTCAGTCATGCTTATTATGCTAAACTATCCAAAACTAGGAACCAACAACAACAACAAAATAAACCTTTTTCTTCATCTTCATCTTCATCATCTTCTTTTTCCTGCCAAAGTCTATTTTATTGACAGTTTTTTTTCTCTTCATCTTCTTTGTCTCCATTCAACTTGGGTTTCAACGTTTTTCGCATTTTCTTACCTTTTCTTTCCCATCAATTTCCTACAAATAGGCTTACAAAAGGTAACACTGATTTTACCTTGTCTTTACCAAGTCAACTTTACCTTTAACAGTTAACCTTTTCCCTTTCTCTATCCTCTGTCTGCGACAAAAAAAGAGGAAAGACAAGAAGAGAAGAGAGAAAGAAAAAAGAGATTTTCGTTCAATTTCCTCCACCTTATCATTCGCCATCTATTTTGTCAGTTAAACTAGTTTGCTTGTACAATGTGTACATTGGTGGCCAACCAGAGGACCTAAAGGTCGAAAGGTTGTAAGTCTTGTAAACTGGAATACAATAGGAGTGACTTTACACAGAGCGATTGTGTCCTGTCAAATCTGATCAACTTACAATTTGCATGGTGAATGCTGTTCAATCCATTGTAAGATATCGAGTCTTTCACACTCAAGTCCACCCCAACAGCCACAGTTAAACCCAAGCCAGTCAACTTGATCCCATCGGAGGTTAACCTCCTTCTGCCTCCTTTCATTGTCAACCAAAGGCACAATATATTTGATATTTACAAATGTATAAATAATGTGACAACAATGGAAACCAATGGAAGGAGCGTAAAGAAGTAAACCAAGCTCAAGAATTTTATTGTCAATATATTACTGATAATCTTACCTTTTTTTTGGCAAAAGAAGAAAAGTTTCTTATCTTTACTCTTTCATCATCTTTTACTTTCTTTTTTTACTCTATTATTTACTCTTATCCTTCCTCAGAAGCAATAACAATAATAACAAGGAATGCTGGTGCAATTCATGGAAATGACCGAAAACCTTTGTTGATTGTAAAAAGGCAAAGAAGAGTTTGTTATTAAATTTGATTCTATCTCATGTGATATGATCAAGATTGCTATCAAATCCTATTTAGTCTCTTCAATCTGATCATCTTAAAGGTTAACAAGGCAACAAATGATCAACAGGAGTAAACAATAAGTTGATCTCAACTGTAAGATTAAAGGTTAAAGTACAAGATAACAAAGAAGAAGCAATAGAAAAAGGTAGAAAATTTGAAAACAAAATGTTGGCCAACATGAACTAGAGGGTAATTCATGATGAATATCATGAAGAGAAGAAACTCATAACTTTCACTTGTTAATTTTCTCATCATTATCATTCTCCTTCTCATCAAAGTTTTTTCTTCTCATTTCTTTTATTCCTTCCCATTGATCAAGCTTACCTGATCAGGTAAAAGATAAAAGATAAAAGATTTTCCCTTCTCTTCCTCTCTCCTGGAGGTCTGACCAGTTTCACTTTGACCTCAATATTTAAATGACGAGAAATGAGAAGAAGCGAATAAAAGCGATTCCTAAAAAATTGTACTTTACACTTGGTCTAAGTAAACATCCATTAAAGTGTTAATCAGTAAAGGGATTGTTCATTTGATATGAAAATGCTGATCATTTATTGGCCTCACCTTTCCATCCTACACAGGTAAACTCATCACTAAATACATTTTTTTACCTTCTTCTTGTTGCAAATTCTTGTGAACAAAAGCGAATCAAAAGTTTCATTTGGAAACAATGAAAGTCTATGGTTATCATCATTCATCAGTAGGTGTACTTTATCATCATTTCATCTTTTGTTTCTTCGAGTTGATCTTTTCTTCTTTGACAGTAAAGGTAAACAGGTAAATAAAGATGATGAAAGTGTAGGAGGTAAACAGGGTTGAAATTGTTTAGATTATTTTGATACATGAAAAGATGTGAGAAGAAAAAAAAATGATGGATAAAGGGCAAAGGCCATGGATAATGATAAAGTTGGATCAACAAAAGATGAACAGCAAATTATAGGTGTCATCGGAATCATTCATTTTATTCATTCATATATATCAATCAAATTGTTTGTCAACAAGGTTTGCGTTTTTTTCCTCTTCTTCTCATCGTTTGTGTTTGATGATGATAAGAGGAGTGAGAAGATTCTTTTTTTACTGTTGCTTTTGAATAATTTTGATGAAAGCAAAAAAAGTTAAACCATCAAGTCGATGAATTTTGTTGCGAGAAAAAAAGGAAAACTTTTTTTTGCCATTTTGTGTCAGTCTTTTGTTTAGCATGGTTCATCGAGTTTACACATTTTTACAATTAAAATGTTCAATCAAATGTTATCAGTGTGTTATCATAGTGATTGGTCCTTGTTCACTCAGAAATTCATTGTAGAATGAAAATTTTGGGAGAAAAAAGGAAATTTCAAGGAAGCTTGACATTATGAAAATCAGATTGATTCATGATGAGAAAAAGATGAATGTCAATTTGAAATGAAATGAGAATTTAGATGATCGTTTTTAGCGAGAAAAATTCTTGTACCTTTCAAGCTGACAATGTTATTCCATTTCAAAGATAGAATAGCATTTTGGAAAAAAGCTAAAAAATCAAGTTTCTTTGTGACATTTGCAACTGAAAAGCACCAG